ATAACGACAAAAACCTTTTAAAAAGGAATATAGTAAAGGTTAATACGATATACAAAAGGAAGGCGGAGAAGGTCAGACCGGTGGATTTAAGGGTGTCGGATGGAAAGATACTTAAAGGAATCGACGATTAGTTTAAGCAAGATGAAAAAGCGAGACCTCTTAAGCTTAAAAGACTTTTTTCGGAATACTTTATTAGCAAGTTTTCAAACTTGGAAGTTAGATTAAGATTGACGAAAGAACGATTCGAAGCATTTACGATTAGCTTTCAAGTCACTTTAGAAAAGAAAGAGCTGCTTTATTAATGTCTTTTGAATCGAAAAGAAGCGATGGCTTAAGATTTTATTTATTTTGGCTAAGTCCGGAAAGAAGTCATGCTACCTTAAAAGATTAAAACGGTGCTTTACGAAGCTTAGCAAAAGAAGACGTTTACGGTACCGAAGGCTTTATAAGAAATGGTCATCTTTATATTAAAAGAACGATTAAAGCAAAAGGTCTTCGAATTATGCTAAAGCTTTTACCGGAACAAATGGTTTATTATAGTAAAGAAAGAGAAAAGGAAATACAAGCTAATTATTGTTATAATTAAGATGAACCGTATAACGGTCAAGGACGCTAATATTATTTCGAACGTAAATTAATTCTCGAACGAATTTGCCGGTCTTACGATAGCTACACTTTTAAACTTCTTTTTTAAATACGATCAATTCCTTTTCGACGTTGAGTCTAAAGATATGATAGCTATTTAAACGCTTATCAGATTGCTTCGGATGATTCGGATACTTATAAGAGCTATTAATTCGATCGCTTAATTCGTTAAGGTTATTTATAAGATCTTTATAAACTGCATTCTTAACGTTTGCTTGCTTTATATAAATAACGTAAAAGTTAAAGGATCTCGATCCTTTTATAATTACGAAAAAGTTTTGCTCGGAATACGACGATTCGTCTTAAAGCATATCTAGAACATTGATAAAGTGCTCGTGAGGTTTAAAAGAGCTAGGACGACCGTCGGAATTAAGTTTTAATACTGCATGCTCGGGCTTAACATCGTTGGATTCGTTACGGATAGCAAAGGACGCTACTCTTAGACCGTTAAAATTAAAAAGATACTAGAATAGATTAAGTGCGAAGATATATCGGAAGCTCGAGCTTTTATTAAGATCGTAGTTTATTATAAAATCTGGATTAAAAACTTCTTTATAATTGCTGCCTTAATTTACGCGACGATAAGAAAGAGGGTCGAATTCGAATGGTTAGAGCTTTAGCAAGAAGCGATGAAGCTACTCAAGGAAGCCTTGCTCTTTGCTTCCGCTTTTATTAAGATCGATTATAGTAAGGACGGAGGGAAAATCTATTTGACGGTAGACGCTAGTTTTAAGGGATAAGGAGCAGTATTGCAGCAAAAGGATTCCGATAAGAAGCGACATCTTGCTAAGTTCGAAAGTGGTTTTTAGAACTTTGCGGAGAGCAAGTACGACGCGATTAAGCGAGAATGCCGCGGTGCTTTAAAAGCTATGAAAAAGATAAGGAGCGAATTATACGAAGTTCACTTCATTTTAAAAACCGACGTTAAAGTATTAGTTAATCAACTTAACGGATTAGCAAGCGACTTGCTTAAAGCTTTCGTTACGAACTGGATTGCGTAGATAAGATTAATAGACTTTGAAGTCAAGCATATCCTTAAGACTAAAAATACGGCAGCCGACGGTTTCTTTAAGAAAAGAAGGAAGCATCTTTCAGATATTAAAGAAAGAAAGAAAGAAGATATTAACGATTGGGTCATTAACGAGCTGAGTATTATTTTAGTATTCTCGGTTAAACGACTCGTGAATTATAGTTTACGAGTTAAAAAAAGAGTTTTAAAGCACGATTATTCGCTCGACTCCGAGCTTATTGCTTAATTCTTTATTATTTTTAAGCGCTTTCTTTCGATTAAGACTTACGACTTTTAGAAATTCAAGAACAAAGCACTCAATTACTTGGTTAAAGATAGTTACTTTTATAAGCGAGCAGACAATTCTTATTCGATCAAGCTAGTTATCGACGGAACTTAAAGACGCTACACTGCTATTTCCGACGCTTATCGAGAATCCGGATATAAAAGAGCTAAATCAACTTATTACTGCATATTAAAATTCTTTTTTTGAAATGGATGCTACGAAGATTGCAAAGCCTTCGTTTAAAGCTATAAGCTTTGTTAGAAACGCAAAGCTAAACGAATAGAAAACCTTTTGTACTCGACTTAGCTTACTTAGATATGGTCAAAAGTTAGCTTAGACGTGTCGCGAGTACTTATTATTGATAAAAGGATAACTTGCTTCGTATTAGCTAAGGAAGATCTATCTGAATAGCTAGAAAAGCGACCACTTCGATTAGCTAACGCCGAATCTATTGCTAAGTTCTTTTAAGAGGATATCGTTTGCCGCTACGGACTATTCGAAAGACTAATTATCGATAAAAGATCCGAAAACAAAGCAATTGCTAAGGCTTTCGCTATTAAGTACGGGATTAAAAGGGTCCAGATCTCGAGCTATAATTCAAAGGCAAATGGAATGATCGAAAGAGGGCATAAAGATATCTTGGATAGCTTATCGAAAGTCATAAACGAAGGATTTAAAGATTGGGTTCGCAAATTCAATAGGATGCTTTTTGCAGTTCGGACTTTGATATACGCACTTATTAAGGTTACCCTTTTCTTTTTGAACTACGGACGAAAAGCTGAACTACTTTTAGAGTCACGATAGCTAGTTTAAAGGTTATTATCATAGCAAGAGGTTCGATCCCGCGCTAACTTGCTTGCTATAAGGTTTAGACAATTAAAACTCCGGGACGAAGATATCGACGAGATCATCTTAAAGAAGAAACGCTATCGACTCGCCGTTAAAGCTATTTAAGAACGAGTTAAGGTTTTGAAGTCGGAACCTATTAAAGAAAAAGACCTGGTATTGCTTTACGACGTTAAACGCAGCATCGATATGTCCGCGGATATTAAACTAGATTACAAGTGGCTAAGACCTTATATCGTCTTTAAAGCTTACGACAAAGGATATTATAAACTCTAGGAAATCGATAGAACTGAGCTTAAAGGCACTTTTGCAATCAACCGCTTTAAACGATTCTACCGCCGCGATCAAACCTTCTTTCCCTTTGATAAAGACGACGAAAGAAAAAAAGAAGAAGATTCGGGCTTTTTAAACAACTCGGACTTTAGTGAATACGAGCCCTCCGACGACGGCAAAAGTGAACCACTTAACCTAAGGGTGACCTTTGGACCTAGGTCTACCAACTTCCAAATCATTCTTTTAATACTTTCGAAAGAATAAAAACTGGCTTATAAAATTGTTTCTTAATCTATTTCCTTTACTTTGTTTTTCTTACTTTCTTATCCTCTTTTTATTTTATACTTATTCTATAAGGAGACGTGCCTTAATGATCACTTTCTTTGTTTTAGTAAGGAAGGGTATTTCTTACGTTTGTTTTTTCACTTTTAGACTTGCCTTTTATTATATTCTTTATTTTTTTCTTGTTCCTTTCACTTTATTAGCTATTCACTTGTTTTATACAGATTGTTCTTATTGTTTGATTGTTTTTCACTTGTTTAGGCTTATACGGCTATTTCCTATTTCTTATTTGGGATTGTTCCTTTGTTTTAAGCGTGCTTAACCACGTGTATTCGAAGGTGAACTGTTATTGGAAAGAGTGGGTCTTCTTTATAAATGTACTTATATAAAAAAGCTTTTTCCTCTTTCTTCTTAATATTTTCTCTCTTTATATAATAATAATTATAATAATACTACTACTACCTCCTTCTTTATAACTATATAATACCACATTAACACTAACGACCTTAATCATCACTCAGTCAATCACCACTATTATTAGCTTTATTTCGCTATCTTATATATAGCTCGTAAACCGTAGTTTACGAGTCAGATATGCTTCTTAAGTTAGCCGCCGTTAAAGGAAAAGCTTTTGTCCGGGATGCACTTTTTAGCTTACTAATAAGCGAAGAGCAAGCTGCTTTGGCCCGATAATCGAGTTTCGAGTTGAAGTTCGAAAGACGAGTCACCAAGACCTTCGATAAGTTTCTTTAGACTTACCGTTAAATAAGCAATTCTAGTCAATTAGCTATGCTTAAAGTAGCAACTTTCGACTTTAATAATAGATTGAGTAAAGAAGATGACTTGATCTTGCAGTACGATTAGTTTTTGCGGGCCGAATACGCAAGAAAGAACATAGACGCCGAGGACTTCTTTTCGGCTTACGACTAATTTACTATTAGAGTTACCGCTATTTACTCTTTACGTAATAAGAACGCTGAGGGATACAGACGAATTAAAAGAGCTTTCGACGGCGTTAAAGGCTAATTGCTATACGACGACCACTTTAAGGCTGTATGCACCTTAGTCCGCAGCGCTCGCTAACTGGGCGTTATTCTAGAGAACTGCACCTTTAACGCTTACGCTATTTAAGTTATCAACTACTATATTGTTGCTTACGTCGCTTTTTAGAAGATTACAACTAATATAGCCCGAGGACGCAAGTTTATTAAGCTTAATACTACGGTAATTAACTTTATTTGCTAGACCGTAGAAGATAAGAACAATACTAAGTGGAAGGATGAGATCGCTATTCTTAACGAAAGACTTTTGAAGAAGCTAGGATTAGAGGTCTTATTATGTAGCTTATTGATTTTGGCTCTCGATAATATTAAGGGCGAATACGACGAGCTTAAAGAACGTATAAAGTTTGCCGACAAGAATCAGACTTGGAATTTCGTTTTATAAGAGGAGCTCGAATCCGGAACTTTACCCGTAAACCATGGTTCACGAGTGGAAGATGATTTAGCAATTGAGGCAAGATTAAGTCAACCCTTTGCTCTTAAGACCTTTTTACTTAGATCACTTATTGCGAGCCTTTCGCTGTTACTAGCTTTATCTTAAGGATCGACGTCATCTTTTGCTAATAGAGCCTCGCACGCTAAACTGGTTGCCTCGATTATGTCTACTTTACGCAAGTCCATCGACGCGAGCTCTTTTGCAGCCTTTGCACTCGAAGTGCAACGCGACCCTCTCGAGAACTAGCTGTTATTAGCATTACCCGTTAAAGAAAGAGATAGCCTCGAGTACGAATTAGTTAAGGCTATGTCGAACCGCTGCTTCGGACTCGTCGAGATTAAGGACTTTATAGGTATAGACGTAGCTTTTATCAACTTTTGCTAGGATTTTTATCAATCAGCTTTCGACCGCTTGAACTTGGACGAGAATATCGATAATGCTTTTTAAGTTGCCGCGGAATCGATTAAGAAAGCTATTAGCTAGATCCGCAAGCTTTTAAAGGACGAATTTTTTGATAACGCGATTTTACGACTTTTCGACCGTTGTAGCTAAGTGGGGGTAAGTAGGGAAGGAAGCAAAGTAGTGAACTACTTCTTGCTGTCCGAGATCTTTAATTTAGGCTTTAATGACGACGATTGCGACTGCATAAAAGTCTTTTAAGAGGTGAAGAACGTATTAAAATTTAAAGATAGATTTAAAGAACTCTTTGACTTGGACGTCTAAACGAAGCTCCGCTTTAGCCGTAAAGTCTTACCGTCCGCTATCGACTTATTAAAAAGAGTCTTTTGCGAAGTTTATACTTTCGAATACGCTAAATACCTTAAGCTAGCTACGAAAGGCGTTATAATAATAGTGATCCGTTTCAACTTGTGTCGATTCATCGAGGCCTTTTAAACTAACGTCTTTAATAACTTTATGCTTTACTCGAGCAACTAATCGATGTTCGCTATTAAGACTAAAAGCAGTATTCTAGCTAAGAGAATATCTAGCTTAAGCTTTTCTAAGTTCAAAGCCAAGCCGATGTCCTTTAATAAGCTGAATTAGAGCATTAGCTTGATGGGCACCGCTTAGAAGAACAGCCCTTTTAATATTATAGATACAGGTAGCTATACGAAAGTTTGGCTTATGTTAAGAGCTTCTTTTTTAAACGATAAGCACGGCAACTAGACTTTTTTTATCATCATAAATAAAGAGATCCAGATGTACTTTTATTACTTTCGGACCAGTGACTTAAGAGAAGCTCCGACTGGTGCACTCTTTAATATAGTGCACTCTTTAACTTAGCAAATCTTTCGAAGCTATTATAAGCTGTACTTTGCTGCTTTGCTTAATCGCCGAGACGGAAACTATAAGCTCATCGCTTACTCAGAACCCCTTTAGCTTTTTAGATGTAATAATAATGCTCGAGTGATTGCGACCAAACACGACGCTAATATTAAACGACTCGTGAACCGTGGTTTACGAGTGGAAGACAGAGTTTTAGATTACTACTTGGTGCTTTACGGCGTAAAGACTTAGATCGGAAGCTTAGCTATTTGGCTTTAAAGCTATACCTACGACACTACGCTTAGAAAGACCGCTAGATAGGAAGCTTTTGGACTTAAGTCGAAGACCTTAGATACTTTTAAGAATATTGCGCCGCGCTAACCTTTCGCTATAGTCAGTGATCTCGCTACCTTTATATCCGTCATTACGAAACAAAGTGTTTTCTTAGACATGGACGCTTTCTAGAATGCTTTTTGCGGATGGGTTATCTTTTTTAATAACTATACCGCTTTGCTAAACGATAACACATTGGAAAATAGAGTTAGCTTTGCAAAGCACGCTTGCACGATCGTTTTAAAACGCATACCGCTAATTTTTCGGTGGGGAGTTATTAATGAATCAAGCTAGCCTTTCGCCGCTATAATCCAACTGGATTACGTTAGTTTCGTATTAGAAGCTTTAATCGGAAGAATAGATTAGAACGAACTTCGAGTAGTAAAAGAATTGACCGCTATCTTTGCTATGTTTCGGATTTAGTTTTAAGAATACTTTATTAAGCATAAGAAGAAGTTGTTTTCGGCATTTAAAAAAGGATTTGCTATTGTCTTAGATGCTAAAGCTAAGACTTACGGAGCCAAGTCCTTTTCTAAGGGCAAGAGCCGCCGAGCTGACGACCTTATAGACGCCGACAAGTTAAAGGATTTTAAAAAGAGCTTGCGATCGATTGAGTTATCTTTTAACGATTTCGATTTAAGTGTAGAGATTAATTTGGAAAGTGCGAAATCTACTCGTGAATTACGGTTTACGAGCTAGATCGACGATCTTAAGGCATTATCTTCTCAGCCGAAATCTTTAGACCGCGCATTCGATAAGGCTATAAAAGCCTTGGCTAACTTGCTTGAAGACGAAGACGACTTAATCGGTAGCTCCGGACTTTATTTTAGCTTCGCTGATCCTTTGTCGGCCAAGTTCACACTTATTAACGATGCTATTAATAAGCGCAAGAACGATACGCGCTCTTTTACTTTTAAAGATGCTACTGCTAGCACGTTATCATCTAATGCTAGCCTCGCTAAGAGAAGAAGACCTTTCCAGCTTGAAGAGAACGAAGGAGTTGAGGACGTGAGCACGGAAAGAGACTATGAAGAAGCTGCCGAGGCGTAGTTTGAATGTTTAGAGTTTAGAGATAAGATACCCTCCTTCCTTTTGTACACTAGATTTTTTCTTTTTGCTATACTCTTTTTTTTTCTTTTTGCTTGATGATAGGCGGGGGCGCTTACTTATTTTATAAAGGGACGGATGTAAACACCTTGCTTGATGGGGTACTTGCTATGGCTATTAGGGCTATACTAGACGGACTCATCTTTTATAAGAGGGCATACATCTCTTAACTAGAACAATCAACGAGCTTTCCACTTACCTTTTTTGACACTTCTTTTGTGAGACCATAAGGTCTAGCTTCAGAGCCAGGCTTTTATACAGCACGTCTTTTTGGGTGCTTCTACATTATTCCGATAAAAGCTTTAATATAATTCGAGAACTTTTTACTTTAATCGTTCTTTTAGTATAAAGATAATCATTTTTTATAAAGCTTTCGATACGGTAAACGTTTTCTTTTGCTAAGCTTTATAAAGCATCGTTTTGATCTTTTAAAGTAGTATGACTTTTTTCCGAACTTAATTAAGATAAGTAAAATCTTAAGCTATCGCTTCTTTTCGATTTAAAAAGCATTAATAAAACAGCTCTTTTTCTTTCGGAGTAACTTAAGAGCTAATCGTGAATGCTTCGAATCGTTTTTTCGTTAATCTTAATTCAACTTTTAAGTTTAAAAATCTATTAATAAAGTATTCCGAAAAAAGTCTTTTAAGTTTAAAGAGTCTCGCTTTCTTATTTTGCTCAAACTAATCGTCGATTCTTTTAAGTATCTTTCTATTTAACACTTTTAAATTTATCGGTTTAACCTTCTCCGCTTTCTTTTTATACATTGTATTAACTTTTATTATATTCTTTTTTAAAAAGTCTTTATCGTTATCGATAATAAATATAAAATTTTTTAATTTATCGAATTTAATTGCAAATATTTTTAATGTTTTTAATTTTAATAAGCTTTGCTTAATATTAAGTTGAATTGTTTTTTTATGATTTTATTATTTTTATGCCGATTTACTTGTAAATTATAATTCACGAGCGGAATTTCCTTTTAAGCTTCTTTTTAACTTAGCATTTATCTTAGCTTGCATGCTAGCTATTAGTTTCCCGGGTCTTCGACCAAATCCGACTTGTCTTTTGCAATAATAATTTATCTTTAAGTAAATCGATCGTAGTTTTAAAAAAAAGCTTTTATCGTGCTATTATCGAAGTAAGAAAAAAAGAGTTAAGATTTTAAGAAAAAAAGCATGCTTAAGATAACTTCGTGATTGCTATTATTAATGATAAAGAAATCGGCGTAATTAATAATTCCGCTGATAATAACCTCGACGTCGTTTATCTACTTATCGAAATTATAAATATTTTCGAATACGGTAATATAAATTAAAGCTCGATCCGTTATAATAAATAATTTAACTATTTTAGCTACTTTTTTATTTATTATATTAACCTTAGATCTATTATCGAAGAAAGATCTGCTTTTAATTATACCGTCGATATTAATAAAAACTTTTAAAGTTTTTATCGCTACTTTAAAGCAATTGCGAGCGATAAGTTGTTTACGAATTTGCGTCGCTAAAAAGTCTAGCTTACTTTCTTTATTCCGACTTAAACGTTTAATAGTTAAGGCGTTCATAAGAATAAGCTTACTTTAAAAGACCTTTACGTTTTCTTTAATATCGGAAACTATTAGAATATAATAGCTTAATAGCTTGTCGAAACGAAAGCTGAATTTAAACAAGTCTTTAATCTAGACTTCGATTCTCGATTTTATAATCGCCGCTATTGCTTTTTCTTAAGCTTTAATAATAACGTAAGAATTAATAAATTTCTTTCGTTTATAAGTCTTTTTCTTTTTTCTTTTTAATACTCGCTAAGTAATCTTAACCTCTTTTTTTATATCTTTTATAGCTTCGTCGGCTTTAGCTAGTTTAGAAAGTTTAGAAGACTTTTTTTTAATTACACTATCGAATAACTCGTCTTTTAAGTTTATCTTTATAATAATATTCGATTCTTGAAAGGCACGGGCTTTAAAGGTGCCGTAGTTTTTTTCTTTTTATTATCGGACATTTTTCTTAATCTTAATAAGCTTGGAGCCTTTTAAAAGCGGGAAAAGCTTCTTGGCTTTGTCTTTTGCGGCGGCGTTAATCTCGACCGAAGTAACCTTTATATTAGATAAATGGCTAAGCGTATTAATTTATCTTATAGCATTGATATTCTTAATGTCGATTGGTCTTTTAAAGATGGTAGTAAACTCTCTTGGCTAGTTGGTTAGTTATTAAGCATTTTAATCGGGCTGATACTAGGCTGGCTATTAGATTAATTATTAATAAAAGAATAAGTGTCTATAGGTCTTAGGTCCGCTAATAAATCGATTCTTTAAGATATTATCGTATTCCGTCTTACGAACGTTTAGCACGATAAATCTAAACTAAATCTTTTTTTGCTTTTTTTAAATAATAAAAGCACCGATCCTTTTAAGTCTTAAGTAAAAGCGTTTGTAATCACTAATATAAATACATCTTTTATTGATTATATCTTTAAAGGCTTTACACTTATCTCGGTACTAATAAAAAGCTTAAGTTATGTTTTTAAAGTTCTCGTAAAAGCTATAATCTTGCATTTAGTTCTCGTATCTTTTACTTTTTCTTTTTCTTCGTCTTTATAATCCGTAGCCGATAGCAGCAATTTAAACTTTACTTTCGAAGCTAATTTTACTTCGAGCATCTTAAGCGATATACTTAATAAGAGCTTCGTCGCGGTCTTCGAATCGAACTTAAAGTTGAATTTAAATAAGACGTCGAGAAGTTAAATTAGCGACTTAGTTTTCGAAATAATCAATTCGATTATAAATCGCACCGATTTGCAAGTTAAAAAACTTCTTAATCATAAAACTTACTTTATTAATTTCTTTTTTTTCATTCGTAAACCGTAGTTCACAAGTGAACGGCATTATTACTAAGGCTTTTTTAGCAGACTTAAGAACGCTAGCTAGCTCGGTGTATTTTTTAACTAAAATCCGAATATCTTTAATAAAGTTAGCTAAAAAAGACTTTTTTTAATTTATAATTTCGATAATCTTAGCATTTTAGTCGATCTTAAAAACGAATGCGGCGAAGTCGTCGAAAGCGGCATAAGAGTCTAAATCGAGTTCGTCGACTTTATAATGCTTAATCGTTTTGTTTCGGATTCCGACGAGCAATTCGAAAAAAAACAACTTGCGGCTTTATTCGGTCTTACTTAACAAGTGCATTAAGATAAGCTTTTCGAAGACTCGAGAAAAGGTGCGGTAGTAGTTTTTCAAGTTATTAACATCCCGTTCTTATATAGCAAATTCTCGCAAAAAGGCGACCGAGTCTTTAATTTGCTAAGTATCGTTTTTACGAAACTCGGCTCTTAAAGCTTTAACGAAAGCAGCTTAATCTTTCTTAGCTTTTTATTCGAGTAAGCTTTTGATAACCTCTTTGCGAAGGTTATCGTAGTAACGAAAAAGCTTAATAAACCGATTATCTTTAAAGATATCAAAGTCATTATAAGTCTTTTCGTACTTCTCGATGAAGTCGATGATATTAGCATTATTAAAGCAAAAAGCTTTTAAAGCACTTAGCAATAGCATGCGAGTAATCATGAAAGCGTAAAAGATAGCAAGGTCGATTATAACTAGCGCAAAGCTTAATGAAAAAGCAAGAGGAGTAAAAGGAAAAAGAGTAGTATAGATCTTAAGACCGGTGTTGATTTTAAAAAGCATTTCCGAAGCAAGTGTTTCCGATAGAAGTAGAAGTAAGGGTTTTAGTTGAAGGTCGGAATAAAATAAAGATGGTCCGAAGCTTATAAGAATACGACTAAAAGATTTAATAAATTCAAAAGATTCTAACGAAAAAAGAAGTGACTCGGCGCCGACTTCGATATTAGAAATCTTAAAAAGGTTTTCGATATTTTAAAGATCAGATATATATATATATTAAGAATGATCGGGTTGATAAAAGGTTTTTGAATTATTTAATTTTAATTCGTAAACCGAGTTCACGAGCTAAATAAGTGACTTTCGCAAAGTATTCTCGATCCGAAATTAAAAAGAATAAACCTTTTGCAAAAGTAAATTAATAGTTAAAATCAGAACTATAAAAAACTTAAAAATCAATTGATTAGCTTCGCTAATAACTCCGGACCATATCAATTGCTTTAATTCAAGATAAGAGCTAAAGTATAAAAAGGTATTTTCATTAATAAGTGAAAATTCTTTTTTATTAATAATAGAAGAGAGTTTTTGCCGAGGAGCCGAAATATTATACTTCGGCTATTTCGGCGTTTCGGTGTCCGAACTTATCGGGAATAAGGTTTTGATTGTTTTAAAGTTATAGTTGTAAAGTGCGAAGAGGGCTGAATAATAAACGAAGATCAACTTGACTGCGAATCAAGCGATTGTAATAAGCTATATAAGGACAGAGATCAAAGATTTGAATCCTTGCGTAGGTCACCAATGTAAAAGCACTTAAAAGATGTGCCGTATAAAAGCCTAGCTCTAAAGCTAGACCTCATAGTCTTACAAAAAGAAGTGTCAGAAAAGGTAGGTGGAAAGCTCGTTGATTGTTCTAGCTAAGAGATGTATGCCCTCTTATAAAAGATGGGTCCGTCTAATATGGCCCTAGTGGCCCTGGCAGGTACCCCATCAGGCAGGGTGTTTACAATGACTTTTAAGACTTTTAACGCTCGTTAAGCACGCTAAGCAAAGCTTTTTTTCGATTATAACTTTATTATTACGTATAGACTAAGTAAAACAACTTTTTAATTGACGCGTTAATACGTCGCATCGAAGAACTTTTATTTTAAAACAGCTTTAAGCGCACTTAGCGCTTGCAAACGCTGTTTCGCGCAAATAACGTTAACTTACGACTCTTAACCGAAAAGCTACGCTAGCTTACGTCTTCGGAAACTGCCGTCATTATCGAAGAGATCGCGAAGCTTTTACTGATATTCCGAGTTATTAACTAAGTCTTAAAAGCTAATCGGACCGCTTTTAGTTTTATAGCACTTCGAATCTAAGCTTTTAAAGCTAAGTCTTTACTTATAAATTACGGTTTACGGGCTAAACTTATTATAAAAAGCGATTTGCTGCTTTATGACGGCCGCTTATTAGTTTTCGACGTATAAAACTTGCGCTCGTTACTCGTTCGAGAAGTCTACGACTAAGTATTTACGATATATTTTAGCTTTCGCAAGACTTATAAGCTTTTTGCAATATAATACTATTAACACGGTATAGCTAGATTCGTTAATTAATACTATCGCAATTGCTACGCTTGCAAACGAGCTTTAATGCTTCGCAATAAAAAACTTAGTTTTCTTTAACTTTTTTCGATTTTTTCACGCTTTTAAAAGCACGTTATTATAGATTTTTATAGCTTTAATAAAGATAAATACGGCTACGATAACGTCTTTATGATAATCGACCGCTTTTTTAAGCAAGCAATCTCGATTCTTTATTATAAGTCTATCGACGCTAAAAGCTTCGTTAAGCTTTATATCTATTATATTTATAAGTATTTTAAAGCTTTTTTAATATTGACTTTTAATAAAGGACTTTAATATTGGTTCGAATTCTAGAAAGAATTTAATAAAATACTCGGCATTAAATTGACCTTTAGCATCGCCGCTCACTTTAAGACCGACGGTCAAACCGAGATTTACAATTAATACTGTGGAAGGGAAGAGCTCCGACATATACCTAACGTCAAATCAAGAGATATATATATATATATAGCTATAATAGAATCGTAAGTGAATAAAAAAGGAAAAGGAGGACGATCGAAAGACACTCGAATGTATTTTGTAAGTACGTGTATTGTATTGTATAGTGATATAATGCTAGTGTAAAGAAAAACTAATTATTCGTTTATATAAAAGCTTGTACGTAACTTAATTACGTGCTTAACAAAGCTAAAGCATGCAGCGCACTTACGTAATAAAAGTGCTTATCATTAGTATTATATATATAGATAAAACAAATACAAAGCTTTAATTCTATTATATACGTCTTTTTTTCGAATCAGACTCGCTTTCGAGTCACTTCTTATTAAAGTAGTAAAGTTGGGTTTGCAAAACGAGCATATAACCGAATTGCATAATCGCAATACGGTCTTAAAGTACTACTTAATAATGCATCGCCGGATCGATGTTAATATAAAAGCGTATATGATATAATAAAGAAGATAAAAATAATAACGAAAATATAAGATAATCTTTCGAGTTCAACTCTTTTTTATATTTTTTATAGCATTCTTATTCAAGTATAAAAACAATATTAACTCGACCGTTAGTATTATCGTTAAGATAAGCGTGTGCCGGCTTAAGCGGTCAAGTAATAACGCATTACCGAATCGGTAATAGCGCAAAGCTTAAAGCGGTAACGTAATAAAGAAAACAAAAGCGGTAATATATACTCGAAGTCTTGTTATAAATAATCAACTTTCCTTTTATATTAACTTTATACTCTTCTATCTTTTCTTTAGCACTATTATTTATTAACTTTATTATTAATTATTATGTTTTTAATTTGTTTCCGATGCGTAAGCTACGCAAGTAAACTTACGGGCGCAACCCCTAGGTGTAGCAACCGAGTGCACTCGGTTGCAACACCTTACTTACACCTTACTTACACTTTACTTACACCTTAGCATTTTAGTGTAACAACCGAGTGCACTCGGTTGTAAAT